GTGTGAGACTGTGTCTAGGTCCTCCAGAGCTGTGTGAGACTGTGTCTGTCTAGGGACCTTACCAGGTTGCAGAATGTCTAGTTGAAGGCAAATTTGTAATGATTTAGTTTCTAGATGAGGTGGTACATGCATGTAATCTCAACATTCAGGAGGCCAAGGCAGGAGGATTGCTGTGTTGCAGGCTAACCTACGCTACATAGTATTAAGGTAGCCAGAGCCACAATTAACACTGTCTCGTGAGACAAAACAGAAAACAAAAAAGAAGAAAGAAAAAGAAACTGCAAGGCTTATGTTTCAGATTTGTGGTTTTCTGGGTTTTTTTTTGTTTGTTTTCAGTTTAGACTGGGCCTTACTGGGCCTTATTTGAGGCGGGGAAGTACTTTTGTCTTGTTTAAAATATCATTTAAAAACACAGGAAATGAGTGACAGTGTTGTTGGAAACACATTGTTCCAGAAGAGCGGCTTCTGGTTCTCCCGTGGGGTACCCTTCCTGCCCCGGGGGGGGGCGCGGAGACAAAAGCAAAACAACTCATCCCGAAGGAACTGCTGTCTTTTTAACTCAGGGTCTTTAAAGCCACTAGAGTCTTCAGTTCTTTGTCCCCAAGTCTTCTCTGTCAGAGTGAGAACGTGGGGTATTTTTAGAAATAGCCCTGCTTCACGCATACTCTCTGTATTTGACTTTTTTTCAATTAAAAGTAAGCTGTTTATAAAAAAAAAGTATTATAAAAATCCAAACAAAGTAGCATTACTCGACCAAGAGGGTTTGTAGAAAATTCTTAGTCTGTGCATGCCTGTAAAACATTTGACTTTGCTGGATCTCAAGTTTGAGGCCACTGCAGACTATAGAATAGATCCTGTCTCGAAAGCAAACACAGAACACCAAGTTTATCCTTTTAAAAGTCATTCCTCTATTAAATATAAAGCTAAAAGCTTGCTGTATACAGCTCATTTGGCTATCAAATTGCCACCTTTAAAATTCTGCATTCCAAAAAAATCAACAAAAGGAATTGCATTTTCTTTGAACTTATTTTGTTAAATGTCTGAAGTTTTTTTATCATGTATGTTGGTTTTGGCAGTGTGTGTTCCTACTAAATTTAACTTAATTTTTGTAACTAACATTTCAGCCTTATATTCAACAGTGAAAATTTTATATGCTGTTCTTTCTCATTGGTTGACTTTGAGTTCTAAAACTATATCTTCAATCAAAATTACTAGTAATTAGTCTTTTGTTACTTTATTCATTTAACTGCAATAAATAGCTAGAATGTAGCTCAGTGGTGGGTTACTTGCCTAGCCTGCTTGAGGCTTTCAGCATCTCAAAATAAAGAATTTAAAAGTATCCATTCATCCATCCATGCATGTATATGTAATAGGTTGGGAATAGTAGTTTAAGATTTGGGCAATGTTTTCCTCTGCTTAATGATAAGAGCTTCCCAAAGCCGTCCCTCTCAAATGCTGTCAGGAGCCATCATCAGCAAAGGTCAGAAATCGCAGTATTACACTGAATCAGTTGTCAGGAGAACCTAATCATAGTTCTTGCTGTTAAGTGTAAGTAGTTTTCAAACCTCTGCTGACTGTTTTAATTAGATCACTCGTTTGCATAGAAGTAACTTATAAATTTGATATGTAGTTTGACAAACTATATTGAGTATCTGCTGTACGCCAGATACTATGCTAGGCACTGGGAATTATTTCATTTGTTTGTTTGTTTGTTTTGTTTTTGAGACAGCATCTCACTGTATAACCCAGGGTGGCCTGAGATCATGCTTTGCTGGGTTTGGTTCTGAATTCAGGACAAATTAAGAAATAATGTGCATATCTTTGGGATCTTTGAGTATAAGAAGCATTTTTTTTTTTCCCAAGACAGGGTTTCTCTGCAGCTTTGGAGCTTGTCCTGGAACTTGCTCTGTAGACCAGGCTGACCTCAAACTCACAGAAATCCATCTGCCTCTCCCGGGTGCTGGGACTAAAGATGTGCACCACCACCACCGAGCTTATTTTTATTTATTATTATTATTTTTTAAAATATTTATTTATTTATTATGTATACAATATTCTGTCTGCGTGTGTGCCGGAAGGCCAGAAGAGGGCACCAGACCTCATTACAGATGGTTGTGAGCCACCATGTGGTTGCTGGGAATTAAACTCAGGACCTTTGGAAGAGCAGGCAATGCTCTTAACCACTGAGCCATCTCTCCAGCCCTTATTTATTATTTTTAATTATGTGTAGGTGTGCGTCTGCATGTGGGTGTGTGCATGTGAGTGCAGGTGCACGTGGGTGTGTGAGTGTGTGTGTGTGAGTGCAGGTGCCCACAGAGGCCAGAGGTGTTGGATCCCAGGGAGCTGGAGTCGCCTGCCATGGGTGCTGGGAACTTAACCTGGGTCCTCTGCAAGAGCAGCAAGTGTTCTTAACCACTGAGCTGTCTCTCCAGCTCCATAGGAAGCAATAATTTTTCAGTGTAACTATGCTCATATAAAAAGCTTTTTTGTGTGCTATTGGGTATATTTAATGATGTTTTTTCCCTTTTTGTTAACAGTAGTATTTGATAATTCAACCTACTTTTCACTGTTATTAAAATTTTTGTTAATCTTTTTAATATTCCCATGAAGCATGCTAAGAACACTTGCTCCATATATTTAATTATTAACCTGTCGCTTTTGTCTTCTGGTAACCAGGGCAAAGGTTGTAGCTGCCCAGCTACTGTGTCATGGGAGAAAAGTCACCAGTGGGTCAGCCTAGGATGTAGTGTGAGGGACGGTCAGAGGCCTAAGATTTCCTCCTATACATCCTACTTCTGCATTTTCATTATAAAATGTCTTAGAAAGCACCTCCTTTTCTTAAAATCTTACTTGTTCTTCCATTTCGTAGTAACAAGCAATCAGTATAAATTTTCCTGAAAGTATTCAAATAACAGGCTGGAGGTTTTCACCCTTCTGTCCAGAGCACCTTGTATTAATCCAGTGTTTTTGTCTTTTCTGTCTGTTTAGTGCTTGAAACAGGCTCCCTGTGAAGCCTCCCTGGCTCTGAGCTGAGCTCCTCTTACCTCAGCCTCCCGGGCTGCAGCCAGGGCCCTTCATCCCTCAGTGCCTCCGTCTCCTCTCCCCATGCTCAGTTTTATAAAGCAGCTAGAGATCATTTTAACAAGCCCTCAGCAAGAGGGGGTGCTCAGGGAAAGAGCTGTATTTTAAGGGCCATTTCCGTATACTATGTTAACTCAACAACCAGGAGGAGACAGTTTGAGGCTGAAGACAAGCTGTCTGTTGTTGGCCTGGCATATGTGTGCCCAGGTTACAGACAGTACCCCCTCCTTGGTTCTGTTTTGGATTTTTTATGCAGCTAACTGTGAGCATTAGCTTCTATTGACTGTTGCTACAGTTTTTTACATTCCGTGTGTTTGTTTAGCCTCCTGTAGAAGAAGTTGGCCCTGACCTTCACAGTCCACCAACCACAAGCACCTCAGCCCTCAACAGCCTGGTGGTCTCCTGTGCATCTGCTGTCGGTGTGAGAGTGGCCGCCACCTACGAGGCTGGGGCCTTGTCTCTCAAGAAAGTCATGAACTTTTACAGCACCACCCCCGGGGAGATGGGAGCCCAGCCGGGCAGCGCTCCCACGGGCCCAGAGAGCCTGAAAGATCTCAGAGAAGAGCAGGTGAGACAGGAGTCAATGCAAGGGAAGAAAAGCTCCAGTCTGGTGGACATCAGAGAGGAAGAGGCGGAGGGAGGGAGCCGAAGACTCTCCCTCCCTGGACTGCTGTCACAAGGTGAGGCGGGGACTGAGCTTCACACGCTGTGTTACAGCAAGTTAACTTTCCTAGTTGTTGGAGCTGAAGCTTTCTGTAACGGTGGTTTGCACAGTGGTGGCTGTAAGAGAAAGCTACCCGTTTCTCTGCCTCAGAAATAGTTACAGAATATAACTTCAGTCTTTTTTAATGACTTTATTCAAAGTTTGTCCTGCTACCAAATTGGTGTATAAGATTTACTTCATGTTATACATTGTTATCAACATAGTAAAAGCTAGTAACATCCTTTCAAAAGACTAATTTAATAAAACATTAACCTAGCAAGGCATAGTGACCCACACTTCTAATCCCAGCACCCTGGAAGCAGAGGCAAGCAGATCTCCAAATTTAAGGACAGCCTGGTCTATGTACTGAGTTATAGGGCAGCACAGGCTACACAGTGAGACCCTGTCACAAAGCAAAACAAACCAACCAGACCCCCCCCCCAAATTGACCTTCATATTTACCCAAAACGCGTAAAAAGTTTTTTTTTAAAAGAAATTATTTTCTGCTTATGAGTGTTTTACCTGCATGTATCTTTGTGCACTATCAGAGCCTGGTGCCATGGAGACCAGAAGAGGGTGTCAGGAACTCGAACTGGAATTATAGTTGTGAGCCAGCCACTGTGTGGGTATTGAGAATTGAACCCAGGTCCTCTGGTAGAGTAATCAGTGCTCTTAACCACTGAGCCATCTCCAGCCCCTGTGAAAGATTTTAAAGCTTTCTTCCCGCCATAGAAGTTTAAAGTTTTGTGTCTTAAAATTAATCCTTTATTACAGTTGTTTGTTATATATGTGAAATCAAAGCTTGGCTTAGAAAGCTTAGCTTTTAACAATGTTTTGAAATAGGAAAGATTTGTATTTTTAGTATATTCTGTTTATTTTTTGTGTGTTTTTTTTTAGATAGGGTCTTACATTGTAGCCCAGGATGGCCTCAGGCTCTTGGCAGGCCATACAGGCATGAGTTACAACACCCATTATGATCATATTTTTTAGAATGCAAGTTCTCCAAGATGTTGATAAACGTTACACAGAGAAGGGTCTGCAGCCAAGTTTTCGGCGTATGACAGATTAAACACTTACATGGGCTTCTACTTGCAGGTCCGTGAGCATCCTCTGCACACTAATGAGTAAGACTGTGCAGGGGAGAGAGGCAGGGCTCAAGACAGTCGGGAGCATTCCCCAGACTCAGCTGACCAGCCAGGCACTCCGCAGGGTGTTTCACAGACGCCACGTCTCTCTGTTAAAGCATCGTCTTTCCTGTTTGTTTCCAGTTTCCCCCAGGCTCTTAAGGAAAGCTGCCAGGGTGAAAACCAGGACAGTGGTCCTGACTCCCACGTACAGTGGAGAAGCCGATGCCCTCCTGCCTTCCCTGAGAACAGAGGTGTGGACCTGGGGGAAAGGCAAAGATGGGCAGCTGGGACACGGTGACGTCCTGCCCAGGTGAGTGCCACCAGCAGGTGCTGATGGGGGTCAGGCTGGGCAGTAGCCTTTTTCCTGGGATCTCCACACATCCATTTTAGCCAACAAGGCAGGTTACTGTGCACCATTAGTGCTGATAAAAGGCTTAGTCTTTGGTGCCTCGCAGTCCAAGGCTGGAGGCTAGGCATGAATGGAGGCATACGCCTTAGCCTTAGCGCTCAGGAGAGAGGCAAGCAGACCCATGTGAGTCTGAGGCCAGTCTGGTCTGCATAATGAGTTCCAGGCCAGCTAGGGGTACATAGAGAGATCCTGTCTCAAAACAAATAATCACAAACCAATGAAGGACTGGAGTATCCGCGTACACTTGTCCGTCCATTCTGGTGTGCGCTCATCTTAGAATGCAGAAGATGGTGTTAGAGATAAGATGGTATTTCATTGAAACATTTGAATAGTTACGTCTTAATTTATAAAGAGGACATGGGTTTCTGACCCCAAAGATGTAGCTGTGCTCTCTAGAACAGCTGTCTCTAAAGCATTGAGCTGTGCGTACATCAGGAAAAACGGTCATTTTCTCTGACAGACATTCTCAGACTGTTAGCATGCTTGATTTCTGAAGCTTGAAGATGTGTAAACAGACTGTCTATCCTAGCGGAGCGAAGGGAATGGGAATAAAAGTTTCCTTACTTCCCCCGTGTCCTCTGTGCTTTACCGAGTCACGTCGAGTCCCAGTCTTTACATTTCTGTCGTACTTCCATTTGGGACAGGGTCACACTGCGTGACCTGGACTAGACTGGACTTGGCAGGGATCCTCCTGTCCCAGGGTGCTGGGGTTGAGGCCTGGGCAGCACTTCCAGCTCAACTCCACGGTTCTTAGTTGATTCCGAATTACAAGGGTTGGTTAATGATGACAGACAATGCCGCAGTTAAAACGAGCGAAGATGAGGTATGATGTTTAGAAGTAGTTCAAACATATCCTCGTTATTTCTGACACTTTATTTTTATTTAACAGTCCTGACTGTATAATTTGGGAAAGTTACGCTGCTGAAGGTGTTGACTCTGTTTGTGCGCCTGTGTTTGTTTCCTTCAAGGCTTCAGCCGCTGTGTGTCAAGTGTCTGGACGGTAAAGAGGTGATTCACCTGGAGGCAGGTGACTCCCACTCCCTTGCACTTACCGCGAAGTCTCAGGTAAGGACAGACTGGAGTGCAGCAGCTCCTGCTCAAACGGGAGGGAGGCTGTCTCTGGGTGACTGTACTGTCAGGTCAGGTGCTCCGCTGTCTCT